TGGAAGGTGGCGGGCGCACAGATGCACACAGGGCTAATCTGTGAGCGTGCCGAGTGGGATCCTCCTGCTGTGAGGATTCGCCTTAATGGCGCCTGCGCCAGGCCCGTGGGATGCTTCCCACATGCCCGTCTCTTCAAGGGGGGGTGTCCTTCTGCCCCTCCTGGGGTCCAGGAGAGGAGCCCGGAGAGGGGGTTACTGTTTGGGCCCAGTCACCTCAGTCCCCACAGATAAATAGCAGGGGAGTCGAGCTGGGCACTGTGGGTGTGAAGTCACTGACTTGGCTCTAAAAAGCGCTTGAGGTAACGGAGGAAGACTTGCCGCTTGCACCGTGCGCCTCCTGTAGCTTCTGTGGGCAGTCCTCACTCCTGCGGGAGCAGAGTGCAGTTCTGTTGTTCCAGGGAGACTGGCTGCCGCCCGGAGAGCTTGGTGTCTTCCCTCCGTTGACGGGCGCAGCCTAGGAGCATCCGTATCCACCTCTGCACGCCGGGAGACAACTGACACTGGGTTCTGGGCCCTGGGTCTTCAGCCATGGAAGTCCTGGGCCCTGCCCAAGTCTCCGCCTTGTCTGTCACAGCCCTGGCCAGAATGCTGTCTTTGGGAGAGGGGTCAAGGTGGCATCGTCCTCACCGGAATCAGAGGGAGTCACATCAGAAGCGACCCGCCTGGGAAAGCACCGCACGGCGGGAAATGACAGTCGGTCCCTGAAGTCTCGGCTTTTGTGGACGAGGCAGAGCCAAACAGGTGAAGGGTCACAGGGGTCAGTGCCCAGGGGTCAGTGCCCAGACTGCTGTGGAGGAGGGAGGCGAGGCTGGGAGCTGCCGGCAGCACGGACCCACGCAGAGCAGGCCGCCCGGCGGAGCCTCCGGCTCCCCTTGCACAGAGGGCCTCGCTCGGCCGATTGTGAACGTGCTGTCCTTTCTGAACAGCCTCCTGGCGTGGATCTGAGCGGAGGCTGCAGCAGCGGTGGCCGAGCCCTGGGGCTTCCCCTCGCCCTCCTGCTCCCAGGCTGTCCTGTCTCTGAGGGTTTGCTCGCTGCAGGCTGTTCTCCGTTTCCTTGGGTGCAGCTGTCTTGGTCTCGGACTCCTGTGCAGAGCGGTGCGTCCTTGGGCACTCTCCATCCCTAACCTCTCCACACCTGTCTGCGTCCGGCTCGGAGCTGGTCAGTGGTGGTGAGAACGGAATGAGTTACTGGGCGTGAGGTTGTTTGAACAGCCCCAGCCGTGGGCGGTGGGCAGCCTGCAGCTCCTCTCTGTTAGGCTTGGTTTGGGGCGAGGCCCAGTTTCAGGCTCTGTCTGGACACCTTCTGAAAGGACCAGCCCCGCCGCCGTGGCCGAGCCCTGGGCACCTGCTTGCAGACGTCCTTTCCCTGTGGATTGATCTGACCCTTGTAGTTCAAGGTTTGTGGCAATCTAATATTTATTACTTCATTAGATCTTCGTACCAACCCTCGATGGCCTCATTTCACAGATGGAAAAGGCAGGCCTGGCAAATAATTTCCAAAGAGAAAAAAGCCAGGGCTGGGGTTTGGCCAGCCAGGCTGCTGGGCAGGGCCTGGGCCCACGAGCTGCTCATCCCACACACGCGCCTGGAGCCCCGGCCCTGCTCACCCCTCGGCCTTCCAGCCTCTCCTTTCTGCTGATGCACTTTTATGCTTCTCGGTGCGCAGGTGTCTCTGGCTGGACTCCCCCGGCCAAGCGGCAGGCAGCAAGTTTTGAGAAGCAGGTGAGGTTAGCAGACCTGCCACCCCCTTGGGGGCTGGGGCAGGAGCCCAAGAGCAGAAGCTTTGAAACCACCCTCAGAATCCCCAGGGGAAGGGCTTCAGGGACACACGGACAAATGGACACTTTGCAGGTTCCCTGCTTGTTTGTTTATTTGTACGAGAGCCGCTGAGGTAGACCAGCAGGGATTCAGCCCGTCCTGGGTGGGAGGGACCTCAACCCCAGGTTTGCCAAGGGGACCCTTGCAGGCCCTGGCGTCCTAAGACCGGCTCTTTTGCTGATGGCAGCACGTAGGGGCCCTCTCCCGGGGACGTAAGCCAGCGCCCTCCCCTCGGTCCCTCAACAGGAGATGGCACGTGGATCCCTGTCTTCGTCTTGAAGCACTGAGGCCCACCCAGCTGCCCCTTCTCCCACCTTCTGCCCTTGGGCCCCACCCCTGCTGCAGGGTGAGGTCGGGGAGGGAGATGGTGGGCCGGGCAGGGGCAGGTCACAGGTGCCTTTGCCCAGAGTGTCGTCTGGGCGACAACAGGACTTCTGCCTGGCACACCGAGCTGCGGCCAGGGGCTCTGATGGGGGCCCAACGGGCCTGTCTCTGTTCCAGCTGGAGGGTTTCTGTGAAGATGGTGGGTGAGCGGGCTGTGCGCTGAGAATGAACCACAGGGCGGGCGGCTGATCTGGGGATCCTCGCGAGGGCAGGGTGCCTTCCACGGAGGGGAGGGTCTGTGAGGTGATGAGGATGCTGGTCCAGCGGGATGACAAGTTCTCCTTCCCTGTCGGGAGTGTCTGTCGTGGGGGGTGGCGATGCTGATGTTTCACTCTGAGCTTGTTAATTTTGTAATTCTTTAACAAGGTGATTTCGGTCCAGGAAGAACTCTAAAACTCAGGTCATCAGCTAGGAAAGGTATTGGCAGTAAACACAACAGATGAGGGGAGTTAAGGTGGGGGAAATGCTGGGAGAAAAATAAGGAAATTCCCCCCCCAGAGCCCTCCCCCTGCCCCCCCCTTCAGTCTGAAGGCTTCTTGGAGCAGCAGAGTAAAAAGCCCCCTGGCACAGACGGGCCGAGGGTCCCAGTCTCTGGGCTCACAATAGGGGGGCGGATCTAAGCCCCGGGAGGTGGGTGCAGGGTGGTGAGCGAGGCTGAGGCTGGGGGCCCTTCAGCAGTCACAGGCTGGTTCCTCAGCACGTCGGGATTTTGGAGACGTGAACGCTCCTTTCCACTGAGAAAGTGCTAAAACAACAACTCTTAGACAAGTTGGTGCGGAGCACACATCAACATTTATTCAGTCGCCGTCAGAGGAGCCAGCATGTGACAAAAGCGTGTCAGTTCAGAAAGGATATGAAACCTGGGGGGGATTCTCGGGAAACAGATGCCTGTTACGTAAGCGGCTTGTTTACTCGTGAGGATCCCAGCTTCCTTCCACACGGTCATCTGTTCGTCTGTAGCGTCGTGTCAGAGGAAATCGGACAGGACGCCCAGGGCACCACGCGGTGCCCACTTTCTCCGTTCAGGGCCCTACGGCGGCACCTTTGGCAGCTCCTGGGCTCTGCGGTCGTGCCACGGAAAGTAGCCGGGGCCGATACGATGCACCTGAAATTTGAGTTTCTTGTAACTTTCACGTGTCACAAAATAGCCTTTTTTTTTCCAATCCACTTAAAATGTAAGAACCATTCTTAATCTCTAGGCTGTGGACCGGACCTGGCCTGCAGGCCGTCGCATGTGGCCCCGGCGCACAGATGCACCACGGAAGAGCCGGGCATCGAAGCGCACGCGGCGGCGGACACAGGTCACCAGGGATACGTGCTGCTCGCGCTGCTGGGGTCAGCTAGCACGGATGTGGACAGTGTTCCCGGGTCAGCAGCACCTCCCCAGCGACGGTTCTGCTCTTAGACGTTTCATCAAATGGCTAGTAAACGCACGGAATGCAAAATCTGTACAATTCTTAGTTTTGGAACATTTTGGGGAGCACATGTTTTTTCTGCTTCTTTGACAAACGAGGTACTTCTCACTCTTGCTGTGTGGCCTTGGGCAGGTCCCCTCGCCCTCCTGGGCCTCCATTTTCCGTCCTTTGAAGATCAGAGTAGTACCTTCTCACACAATTCTTGTGGGGAAAATGCCCTTTGCACAGTGACGGGCACTTGAGGGCCTGAGGAAAACCTAAGCACAGGAGCTCACAGGGTCCCCAGGTGCCCACTTGACCCTGACCCCCAGAAGCCCAGCTCCCTTCTGATGGAAGCAGGGAGGTGAGTCCTATACCCACTTCCTCCAGGAAAACTGCCCCAAGGAGCCCCCCAGACCCCTCCTGGGGCTGGTGAGACCAGCCTTTCCCTTGAGAGTGGGTGGGGCATCGGGCCCCAGAGGAGAGACAGAGGGACCCTGGGGGAAAGGCTGCCCTTGGTCTCCCTCTGACTTCTTCCCCCAGGGGCCTTCACGCTCTTGTGTTGAGGGCGGCCCTGGAGGGTCTTTCGTGGGCGAGAAGAGCCAGGCCTCCAGCCAACCAGGGTAGAGAAGGAAAAATCCCAAGTTTCTCTATGATTGGATTCAGGGTGAGTACCTGGAACGCACACAGGGAAGAGGGGTTTGGTGTGAGGCAGGGTCTAGGGAAGGCATCTCCTCCTCTGTGAGATGTTTCCTAGGCCAGAATCTGATGGATACATTTCAAGGAACTGTAATGTTTGACTTCAAATTTGGTCTTTTCTCCAGCTTTGTTTGTTATTCAAAACTGTTAAGCACCTGCTGTGCTGGAGGTACAGCATCGAGAGAGAGGCTTGGCTGCCCTCACGGGGTGTACACTTCAGACAAGACTGATAAACACACAGGTATGATGAATGCCGCAAAAGAGAGGTGGACGATGTTATTGCTCGTGGGGGGGCTTGTGGCAGGGGTGATGGGACCAAAGTCAGGAAAAAATGAGTGGCCGCTGACCAGGTTAATGAAGGAGGGGAGGATGTTCTAAGAGCAGGGGACTAGCATGTGCAAAGGCCCCGTGGCAGGGGGAGCCTGCAACAGCAAAGGCACCGAAGGCACGGCAGTCATTCTCTGTCCCAGCACCGTTTGCTTTTTGCAGCCCAGTAACCAGTTTCTGAAATTACCCTGTTTCTATTTTTACTTGTTACTCTACTCACCTCACTAAAATGTCAGCTCTCTCAAGCAGGAATCTGTCTTGTTCATAGTGTCCATAGCTCCTAGGACAGTGCCTGGCAAAGAGCAGGTGCTCAACAAATATTTGTGGAAAATGACAGTGACATTGATGATGGTGGTGGTGGTGATGATGGTCATGGTCATGGTCATGGTGACAATGATGGTGGTGATGGTGATGCTGGTGGTGACGATAGTGCTGGTGGTGGTGATGGTGATGGTGGTGACAATGGTGGTGGTGGTGGTGATGATAGTGGTGATGTCCGCATTCCAGGCAGACGCTGTGTGCAGTCCTGTGCCATTGCACTTCCAAGAATCTCACGTGTGTGAACTTGTGTGAACCTCGCAGCCACCTTTGAGAGATGGAAGTAACTTGCTGAATCTCACAGTGGTCGGCGCCTGCGTCAGGATTCATCTCAGGCAGGCTCCCCCAAGCTCACGCCCTGCCGCACCGCCGCAAGATGCAGGTATAGCAACGACTCTGCTTGCGCTCAGAGACTCTTCTGCGCGTGTCTGTGCACGTGTGAGTGCGTCCATCCCATGATGGACACAGGCGCTCGGCAACAGCCCTGCCTGACCAAAGGTCGGCGTGTGGGGACAAAGTGAGCGGCGAGGAAGGCTGGGGGAGGCCCTCTAGCAGCCGTAAGAAGGTTCGAAGCAGAGGGGGTGGCCCGATTGAACTGGTGGGTTGGAGAAAAGATGGAAGGCGGCATAAATGGCTGCAGGGACATCCACTGAAACATAGAGGAGGAAATGCCTGCTTTGAAGAGGTAGGGAGCAGTGAAAACCCACAGGACTTGGAGAGGAATAAGATGTGGGTGGATCGGGTGGGGTTCTCCGTTGCTAGACATCGTGTATGAGCTCACGTTTGCTGTGTAACAAAACCCCTCCAAAGACAGTGGCTTAACACAGTGAACACATATTATTTCTCATAATTCTGTGGTCCAGTTGGGTGGCTCTGCTCTGGCTCAGCGTGGCTGGTGCTCAGTGGCCTGAGGTGGCTCACCTGTGCTTGTGGGTTTGCTTGACGTCCTGCCGTCGACTGCCGGCCCAGCCCTGTTCAGAGGACAAGCCCCAGGCGCTCGCCCCTCAGCCCTGTGGAGTCAGATCTCCCAGTGTCCCGTGGACCGAGTCCAGGTTCAAGGTGGGGAAGCACGGCAACGACGTACCACGAAACCCTTTGCTCACCCGGGACGGGGGGCGGGGGGAGGAATCCCTGTGGCCATTTTTGCAGCCTGCCACGAATGGAAAGGACTCTCTGGCTGATTTAAGCAGAACGGAATTGGTGAAAAATGACTATTTGTAAAAAGAGTTTTGCGGCAGCCTGGGAACAAAATCAGAAATCAGGCACAGGACGTGCAGGACAGGTGTCGCTGCGCTGCTGTGACCCTGTGTCCGTGCTGCTCCGGGGGGTTGATCCTGCAGCAACCCTGCCTGGTGTCAGAGAGGAGAACACACACACAGACACACACGTACACACCCAAACACACACACACACACACACACACACACACACACACACACACACGACCACCTCGCTTCTCCTGGGTCACACGCAAGACCCCATTTGCAAGGTGGGCAGAGCTTGTGCACAGCCATTGCCTTTGCGTGGAGAGGAGGGGTCCAGGGTAAGGGTCTATGCAGACATGTGGGTGGTGGTGAAGGCTGTGGGGGGTTGCCGGGGCCTAGAAGGGAGACCGGGAAATCAGACATGCGGAGGTCTAGGAGTGGCCCGAGCGGATGACCTCGGAGTGGGCGCACAGCGTTGCGTTTCATGCCAGTGGCCACCAGGGGGAGCGCCGAACAAACCAGGTCGTGGAAGACTTGTCCAGTGGTCGACCAACCTCTGTCCAGAGACCCCAGTGCTTGTGCCACGAGCCACAAGCAGCGGCCCTGGTGCCTGCCCTGCAGCAGCCCGGCCTCCAGGCTGGCCCCCACGTGGTCCGCAGCAGCCCGCAGCCCGGGTGGCGTGGTCACCAGCACAGCACTCGTCCTCCTGTGGCCTCCCCTTCCCCGTCTCACGCCCCTGAGCTCGCACTCCCGGTGAGGTCCTGCCCAGGAGCCTTTATCTCGGCCCTGCCTTTTCGGGGCCTGAGGCCAAGACTGTGCTTCAGGCCCCTCCCCACCCCTACACCGCAGATGGAAGGCCGAGGGCTGCTGGCACCAAGGAGCCTAGGGGGACTTTTATGTGTATCTTCTGACCGGGGGCCATCATGGATGGTGTCTGAGACCTGAGGACCCAGGTGGCCAAGAGGTCGCACCTAGCCAGCGGCTCTCAAGCGCTTTGCGGTGTTTGTAGAGGATGTGAGGGGGGTGTCGAGAGGAGAGATGTGGGCTGGGGTCTTGGCCAGGCTGGTGTAAGGGGACCTTGGCAGAAAACTGGAGACACCGTCAGAGGCTAAGGGCAGGGGGAGGGCACAGCCGTCTGCCTGAGGGGTGGAGTCTCCTACATCCTGGGGGTGGAGGGGTCGGGGGCTCCCCCAAATCCACCCCTCGAGGGAAGGGGAGAACTCTGGACCCCGCTGTGTGGGAGGAACCCTCCCTCAGACCCGCAGGCAGGGAGGCTTCCCTACGCCTCGCCTGCGCGGCACTGAGAAGGGCTGACAACGTGCCAGTCTGTCTCCCAGGCCTGGCCCGGTGGAGCCCAGATGCACAGCTTCCCTGCCGTGGGACCCACTCCTCTCTCAGCATTCCAGGAAGTGACAGGACCTGCTCCCTGTGGAAGGCCCTTTTCCTTTTTATATTCGTAAGTACTTTGTGTTCATTGCAGAAACCTTTACAAAGGCAGATAAATGAAAAGAACAAACCTCCCATCATCCCAGAGATTATATTAACATTTTAATTCATCTGCCCACATGATTTCCCTGTGCAAACAAAATCTTCTGTAAAAATTGAATTGTAGCGACTTTCCTGGCAGTCCAGTGGTTAAGACCCTGTGCTTCCACTGTTGGGGGACTGCGTTTGATCCCTGGTCAGGGAACTAAGATCCCACATGCATGCTGCAACTAAGAGTTTGCATGCCGTGACTAAGAGTTTGCATGCCACGACTAAGAGTTTGCATGCCACAACGAAGGAACCCACATGCCACAACTAAGGAGCCGGTGAGCTGCAACTAAGGAGCGCACATGCCACAACTAAGACCCGGCACAACCAAATAAATAAATTTAAAAAAAAAAAAGTACTTCCTACACCTACCCAGGGTAATACTTTAAAAAAAAGAATAGAATTATACAAAATATACTATTTTAAAACTTGTGTTCCTTATGTATGAACATATTATGAACATCTGCCCTTTTTACAGATCTGCAGCTGTTTCTTGAATGGCTGCGCCTTCATTTGTTTAACCGGTCCTGACCTGTCGGGCCTGCGGGCTGCTCCAATCCTGTGCTGTTCACCAGTGATGCCCCAGTGAGGCTGCTAGTACCTAATGGTTCCCTCACTTCTCTGGTCTCATAGATAAATTGCTCTGCTGAAGCTGCGCCCGAATCCATTGCCTCTCTCCCGCTCTGTTCAAGCCCGTGGCTTCCAGGATTCAATCCTGTTTTCCCTTCTTTGGCTCTCAGTTTCACCCCGCAGGGGAGCCCATGTCTACGATGGGGCTCTGACCCAGCAACACTCCCATGACCACTGGACACTTAGCTTGGACGTCGCACAGACACCTCGAAAGCTACATTTTTCTTCTTTTGGGCAGAGAAAATACTCTGTGTAATATGATCATGATAGATACAGCTCATGATACATCTGTCCAGACCCACAGAATATAGAAGACCAGGGGTGAGCCTCATGTCAACTCTGGGCTCTGGGTGGGGATGACCTGTCCGTGCCGCTTCATCAGTGGTAACAGATGTACCCTGTGGTGGGGTGTTGATGGTGGGGAAGCTGTGCATGCAGAGGGGCAGGGCGTGCACAGGAGCTCCCTGTGTCTCCCCCCCAGTTTTGCTGTGCCTAAAACTGCTCTAAAAAATAGTCTTAACTTTAAACAATGAAATAGGCATGCAAAGATATACGAAAATACTTAACACCTGTGTTCCCTCCACCCAGCTTTAGAAATTACATACCTAGAAAGCCCTTGGTGCATTCTCCGCCCCCCCCCCCACCCGCTATCTATTCCTCTCCCTGCCCCAAAGGTAACTGCTGTCCTGATTCGGCTTTGTCATCCTCCACCCATGTCTCAGCAAGTCTAGCCTTGCTCACTTAAAGCCGGAGCTGGTTCACACCTGGACAAGTGCTGGGGCCACTTCCCCTGACCCACTGCACAGGGCCTCCACCCAGCTCTCCGAGAGTCCCTGCCGGCTCTGTCCCTGCAGGGTGGGGTCTCTGTGAGGGCGAGGGTCGCCTCTGCCCTTTGTCTACCGCGGCTCCCGCCCCAGTACCCGGGGCAGGGGGCTCAGTAGAGGGTGGGGTGTCCATGCATCTGCTACGTTACTGGGTCCATGTGGATGGGATTTTTTTTTTTTCAGTATTTAACTATATTTTCTGATTAAAATAGAAAAAAAAGGGGGCGGAGAGTAAGGGCAACGGAAATTACACTGTGCTGATACAGAGACTTTAAATTCTAGTCAGAGTTAAGGTCCATGTTAAAGGTCAACTGATGGTTCCAAGGAAATAACATGGAGTCTGGTTGAGACATACATGAGCTGAGTGTCATCATTAGCCGCAATAATGGAGGAAAACAGCTCTCAGCGAAATTGGAGTCCACACCTGTCAGGCACGGGTAGGGAGAAGTCTGCAGAAATGGGTTCTCTCCATGCCCCCGTGACAAAGAAGGCTCCTGGTTTGATGGGAAGAGTAGCTCTAGTTCCCAGGTGGTGTCCACAGCTCAGAGCCGAGTCTAGCAGTGGAACTGAGCGGAGCACGTAGGTACACACACAACGTAAAATTGACCATCTTCATCATTTTTAAGTGCACAATTCAGTGTCATTAAGTTTATTCGCATTGTTGTGCGTCCATCGCCACCATCATCTCCAGAACCTTCTCATCTTCCCAAACTGAAACTCTGTCCCCATTACACCCTCACTCTACACCCTCCCCCAGCCCCTGGCACCCCCCCACATCCCACCCTCTGTCTCTGTGGATTTGATGACCTCATACACGTGGAGCCATACAGTGCCCGTCCTTCTGTGACTGGCTGTTTCACTCAGCGCAACGCCCTCCGTGTTCATCCTGTTGGAGCAGGTGTAAGAATTTCCTCCCCTCCCCCTTATTTTTTTAAATATTTATTTATTTATTTACTTTTGGCCGTGTTGGGTCTTTGTTGATGCATGCGGGCTTTCTGTAGTTGCGGCGAGCGGAGGCTGCGCATTGCAGAGCACGGACTCTAGGCGCGTGGGCTTCAGTGGTTGCGGCACATGGGCTTAGTGGCTCCGCAGCATGTGGGAATCTTCCCGGACCAGGCCTCGAACTCGTGTCCCCTGCATTGGCAAGAGGATTCTTAACCACTTCGCCACCAGGGAAGTACACCCCCTTTTTCTTTTTTAAATTTATTTATTTAGTTGCACCGGCTTGCAGAATGCGGGCTCCTTAGTTGCAGCTCACGGGCTCCTTAGTTGTGACATGAGGACTCTTAGTTGCGGCATGCATGCAGGATCTAGTTCCCCGACCAGGGATCGAACCTCCGGCCCCCTGCTGAGTCTTATCCGATAGACCACCAGGGCAGTCCCCAGGATTTCCTCCCTTTTTCAAGGCTGGATGATGCTCTGCTGTAGTTAGCTGTGCAGATGGTTTTGACCGGGCCGTGTTCCCTGTAGCGGCTCCGCGGTCCCAAGAGTGGCTGCCGACCCCTCCCCAGCATCACCAGTATGGACTCAGGGGAGACCGGCATGTGTGCCAGTGTGGGAACGGCCAGCTCTCCAGCCACGCCCTAGGGCCTGAAACGCCCCCTCCCCTTGGGCTCTGTCTGTCCTTCCTTGGGGCACTCTGGCCCTTCGCCCCGTGGAGACCTCGCTCCAGGTGAGGGAGAGAACTGCTTCCAGCATCTCTCTGCCATGGAGACGGGGAACTAGAAAGTGCAGCAATTTTAAGAGTCAAGGAAGTCGTGCACCTGAGGGGGGCCTGTGGCCTTTTCCTTTCCCCCCAACACTCCCCCAAAGGTGGAGTCCCCACCTCTCCAAGCCAACCGAGGGGGGCTCCGAGAGTCACCGAGAGAGATCGGGGTGCCTGCAGAAGGGACATCTCCTCACCCAGGGGGCTTGCTGAGCTACCCTCTGTGTCATCCGAGATGATGGAGCTGGAAAAGAGAGCCAGAGAGAGACAGCCAGGCAGAGGGGGCCCCATTTGCACAAGAGGATGTGTGATTTTCCTCCAGCTGACAGCACTCCAAGGAGGCACGCCCGTGGACCATCTCGCTGATACCAGGGGAGCTGCCAGCCAGGTGAGGGGACCCGAGGAAGGTGCCCTGGAGGGTGGGGCTGGAACCTGAGGGTGCGGGGAAATCTCTCCTTTCCCGGGACCTGTGTGGTGGGCAGGAGCTGCGGGACCCCTGGGAGTCCCCAGAGGCCGTGGGGAGCGCCAGGTAAGCAGAAGGACACTGCCCTGGTCCCTTCTCCTGTCAGCCCCCGCACCAGGGCCACGGAGCCTTGGGGGACAGAGCCTCGGGGGACAAGGCGGGATGAGACCTGTCCCCTTCCTGGGGCCACAGACTGGAGCTGAGCTGGCGGAGGCTGTGCGCTGGGATCGAAGTGCTAACTTAGTCTGGACGGAGCTTTGGGCACGGGAATTGACCAGGAAGTGATGGAGCTGCTCGCAGTGTTTGAAGGGACAGAAAGATTTGAGGAGGCACAGCTGGAAGCAGGAATTGAAAACACATTAAAAAGCCGTTTCAGGGGCTTCCCTGGCGGCAGAGCTTTCAGATGAGCAGGGAAAGGGAGGAACCGTGAGCATCAGAGAGGAGAGAGCGACGTGAAGAGTGGACACAAAGGTAATGGGAAGAATGCGATGGAAGGTCCCAGTCCTTCTAGTAAAACAGAGAGACGGTCAGAGGGCGTCTAAGACAAACCCTCCCTCTGTCATTTATGAGAAATGCATGTAAAGCCGCAGGCTAAAGAAGGGCTGGAGGGACTTAGGTGCTCAGACCCGTGCAAACAAAAATAAGGCAGGACCACCCAAATTAACATCAGATAAGGTGGCCTTTAAGATCACAACAGAGGAAGAAGAAAAGCAAAAATTATAAAGGGGATCAAACAGTCATAAACTTGTATGAACAAAGCAAAATGTGGTTAAACACACAGAGCAGAAGTATCAGAATTGCAAGGACAGCTGGGTAATATACCCAGGAAAAGTCGGTACATTTGATTCAATAGGTGGAGGTTTTTACATCTATGAACAGAAATAATACATCTCATTCGTATGTCCCTGGAACGGCTACAGAAATTATCTATTTGACCACAAAGAAGACCTGAACCAATAGAGAAAAGCAGAGAAGAAGGCCATATTTTTATCATAATCTGAGAAAACTGGCAGTAAATAATAAAGGTGTGACGAATATAATGTTAACTACTTTGATATTAGGAAACACACTTATAAAAAACACTTAAAGAGGCCATCAAGAGGGAAATTAAAAATTATTGGAAAGTGGTGAAAGTAAGAATGTTACATTCTCAAAACTCCAGGACACGGCAAAACCGTATATTCAGTGGGAAATAAAGACAAAGGCCATCAGTATTAAAATAGGAAAACAAAAGTCAAAGGACCTACTTACCCAGTTTAAGTACAAAAAGAAAGTAGGAAGATGGAATTGATGAAGAAGAACAGAAATGAATCAGAAACCTAGCTTCACGCCTCTCTTAGAAGATAAGTGCGGCCTGGTCTTTGCAAACACCCGTGAGCAGAAGAACCCGAGCTCACCCTGACTTGCACTTTCTTTGTGAAAGAAAAATGAGATACAGAAACACACAAGGTTAAGGTTCAGAAAGGAGACATAATGACAGGGTCAGGAGATTAAAGCATTTTAAGGAAACTATTCAACACTACAGCAAAAATTTGAAAACCTGGAGGAAATGGGGAAGCCCAAGGGTGTGAGCCTTCGAAGGGGGATCAAGGAATCGATGCCAGGTGAGGCCTAGCTCTGTCACTTAGCAGCTGTGTGACCTTAGGCCAATTACTTAGCCTCTCTGTGCTTCCGTTTCCTATCTATAAAATGGACATCATAATAGTTCCTACCTCTTTGCAGTTGTGAGGATTAAATGAGCTCATATAGGGGACGTCCGCATTATTGATAAAATAGTCTCTCGATGGGCTCAGAGTAAATAATAATACAAATCTTACGAGAATGTCCCGAGAATTAGATGAACCACATAGGACAGGAGAGAGAACCCTCCTCATTCAAACTAAAACAAGAGTTCTCGCTGGCTATACTAAAACTCACGTGTAGCAAAAGGCACCATAAATCCAGTCCACGTACAAGTGACGGATCAAGGAGAGCACTAGTGACTCAGCAGCTGTAACAGCAAGAGCTCTTAAACGCTGACAAGGAAAACACAGAAGAGAAGTGGGGCGAAGGCCTGTGGCCGGCACAGGTGTGACAATGCACCAGCCCACCCGCCGGGGTCAGGGAACAGCCGAGAAGTGGCAAGAACGCAGGGCACTGGCTGCCTGACTGGACCAGAGCCCGGACAGCCTGCTGGCCTCCAGGGACCGCCTTGCAGAAATCCATCGGGCAACACGCACGCAATCAAAAATGCCAACATTCCTGGGATTCTGTTACAGAGAAATAAAAACACCCGTAAGTTCAAGGAGGCTTATGGAGCATCGGTCAAAAGCTGGAAGCCAGGTGGCTTCCCCTCAACAGGGAGCATTCTGGTCCTGTGCACATCAAACGTTGTTGATATTAATACTAAACAGCTGCGAGAGGGGACAGAGTGGATCCCGCGGTCTGAGGCAGCGGGGGATCAGAGCCCGTGTCTGATGAGCCCCTGTTTTAAAAGCAGCGACAGCCCCCAGTGTGTCATGTACATTTAACTTTATCGGATGTTATATAAGCATTGGGAAAAACAGGGGGTGCACACTGGAATTTTACGGGGTGCTGACAGAGGGAGAGGCAAGCCAGTTATGTGTGAAAGGAAAGGGCGGCTCTAAAAACTAGTCATCACATTGTGCAGGTTCACGGAATTATGTTTGTGTGATCACCATGCAGAAATAAAACGGAGAGATTTTCGCCCTTGTTAGAATAAATATCAGACTTGGTGTGCGATGGGGTGCACTCATGTTTGTCAGGAATCGGGGTGCGGCTTCCCACGCTCGAGAAGCAGGAGTGCCAGGCGGCCCGGGCCTGCCCCCCAGCAGGCGGGGGCTCCGGGCGGGGTCGGACCAGGCGCCCAGCTCACCGTGACTTGCACTTTGCCGGGCCGCGCAACCCTGCCCACTCCAGCCCCGGGCTGCCCTTTGTTCCAACTCAGCCCTGGCTTCCTGGGGGCTTCCTGGGAGCCTGCACAGGGGCAGGTCAGGGTCGGGTGACAGTGGGGGACCTTTGCAGCATCCCTGGGGGAGCTTCCCTCTTCCTCCCACTGACTTCCCGGGATGCACACCTGCAGCTTCTCCGACCCAAGTCTCTGCCCTCAGGGCAGATAGAGGGGAAGGGACCCCCGGGGATCCTTCCTGCGTTTTCCCAGACATGCAGCCGGTCCGCTCTCCTTGCCGCTGTCCGGGGAGAAGCTCTCTAAACAGTGTTTGAAATCCCAGTGTCCTCCAGTGGCTCAGCGCTGCACCCAGGAACCCAGGACGGCGGCGGGAGGGACCCCGAGGTCAGAGCTGCTGGGCGAAGCCGAGTCCAGCCTGCCCCACTCACGCTGTCCGCCTCGCTCCAACCAGGCCCCAGCAGTCAGCTCTCTAGGCCAGTGAGCCCCAGCACTGTGCCTCACCCGGAAGTTTATACGGGAAGTTTACATGGCGGGATCTCAGTGGGGAGGCGACACCCATGGTGCCAGGAGGGGGGCATCCACCAGGCGACAGCAGGGGAGCCGGTGTCGGACTGGGAAAGCAGTGGGGACGACGGGAGGAGGAAGGGCAGCCCGCCTGGAGGCTGAAGGGCTCCCGAGGCAAAGACCTAGTGCCAGTATGACATTAGGAAGACGAGCAGGTTAGCTTAGGTCAGTGGTGCAGCTCACTGAAGCTTACCTCTTTCCGTGGATGATTTTGGAAGGAATTTCACTTTCCAAAGTCCTTTCACGCATGTCGCCTCCTCAGGGTCCCACACAACTGCTTGTGATTCTGGCGCCCGTATTTTAACTGATGGGGAAATGGGGCCCCGGGAAGGTAAGCGTCTTTCCCGGGCCTCACAGCTGGGGACGCCTGAGCTAGCACTCGTTTACCCTGTGTGCTGCCTCCAGATGAGATTTTAAAATAAAAATCTTACTTTTGAATTGTTTTGGATTTACAGAATAATTGCCAAGACAGTGTGGAGAGTTCCTGGGTCGTCTGCACGTGGATTCCCTATTGCCGATATCTTGTTTGTTGTAGCTAGTGAACCGATGCTGGTGTGTGATTAACCGAAGCCCATGCTCTCTCCGGGTTTCTTTGGTTTGTGCCGAATGTCCCTTTTCTGTCCCTGGATCCCATCCAGAGACCACCTTCCATTTACTGTCCCATCTCCTCAGGCTCCTCTGGGCTCAGACTTCCCTTGTTTTGGTGACCTTGATGGTTTTGAGGAGGGCTGTTCAGGTATTTTGTTGAACTTCCCTCAGTTTGGGCATGTCTGATGTTCATCTCATGGTTAGACTGGGGGTTTGGGTTTGGGGAAGCAGACCACAGAGTGGAAGCGCCGGTTTTTATCACGTGGTATCCAGGGGACATGGGGTCGCCATGACCTTGACCTTGAACACCCGCTGAGGTCATGTTCATCAGCTTCTTCTGTGTAGAGTTATTCCCCTGACCAGTCCACCCTGGCCTCTTTGGAAAGAAGTCACTACACACATCCCACACGTAAGAAAAGAGGGTTACACTCCACCTCCTCCTGGGGGCGTGATCTACGTAAATGATTTTCAGTTCTCTGTAGGGGAGATTCCACATTTTCCTAATGCATTTTCCTATTTTCTCAGAGTGAGGGTACTGAATATGATATACATATTTTAATAGCTTCATTGAGATACAATTCAACACCATGTTATTCATTTTGGTGTACAACTCAATTTTTTTTAGTTTTTTGTGCAGACATCCCCACAACCTAATCATGAACACGTTTGTCCCCCTAAAAAAACCCTGTACCCATTAGCAGTCAATCCTCACCCTCTGCCCCCACGCCCTTTTCTCAGCCCCAGGCAGCCCCTAACCTACTTTCTGTCTCTATAAATTTGCCTTTACTGGACGTTTCATATGAATGGAATCAGTCGTACACTACGTAGTCCTATGTGTCTGGAGCATAATGTCCACAAGACTCATCCGTGGTGAGGCATGTATCCAAACTTCATTTCTTTTTACGGCGTAATAATGTTCCATCGTACAGATACACCACGTTTTGTTTATCCATTCATCAGCTAATGGACATTTAGGTTGTTTCCACTTTTTGGCTCCTATGAATCATGCTGCTGTGAACATTCTTGTACAACTGTTTGTGTGGACACAGGTCTTCCTTTCTCTTGGGTGTAGACCTAGGAGTGGAATTGCTGGGTCATATGGTAGCTCTGTGTTTAACTCTTTGAGGAACTGCCTGTTTTCCAAAGTGGCTGCACCATTTTACATCCCCACCAGCCGTGTAGGAGAGTTTCAATTTCTCCACCTCCTCGCCAACACTTCTTATTGTCTCTGCCTTTTTTTTTTTTTTTTTTTAATGGCCATGCTAGTGGCTGGGAAGTGGTATCTCATTGTGTTTTTCTCTTTCATTTCCCTGATAACGAATGATGCCAAGCATCTTTTCATGTGTTTGTTGGCTGTTTGTATATCTTCTTTGGAAAAATGTCTGTTTGGATCCTTCACCCATTTTTAAATTGGGTTATTTGTCTAATACTGACAAACGATAAAAGTTGAGTTGTAATAGTTCTTTATATACTCTAAGTCCCTTATCAGATACATGATTTGCCAATCTTTTCTCCCAGTCTGTGGATTTTGTTTTCACTTTCTTGCTGGTATAATTTGCAGCACAAATGCTTTGACATTTTTTTAGAATTAATTAATTAATTAATTTTTGGCTGTGTTGGGTCTTTGTTGCTGCACGTGGGCTTTCTCTAGTTGTGGCGAGCAGGGGCTGCTCTTCGTTGCAGTTCGAGGGCTTCTCGTTGCAGTGGCTCCTCTTATTGCAGAGCACGGGCTCTAGGTGCACGGGCTTCGGTAGTTGTGGCTTGCGGGCTCTAGAGCGCAGGCTCAGTAGCTGTGGCGCACGGGCTTAGTTGCTCCGCGGCATGTGGGATCTTCCCGGACCAGGGCTCAAATCCGTGTCCCCTGCATTGACAGGCGGATTCTTAACCACTGTGCCACCAGGGAAGCCCACGCTTTGATGTAGCCCAATTAGCTGTTTTTTTCTTTTGTCACTTGTGCTTTTGGTCTTGTTATCTAGGAAACCATTGCCTGACCCAAGGACATGAAGATTTACTCCTATGTTTTCTTGTGGAAGTTTTATAGTTTTAGCTCTTACATTTAGGTCGATGATCCATTTTGAGTTAATTTTTGTGTATGGTGTGAGGTAATGGTCCACGTTCATCTTTTTGCATGTGGATATTCCGTCATCCCAGTGCCTTTTGTTGGAAAGACTGTTCTTTTTCCTCACTGAATTGTCTTGGCAGCCTTGTCAAAAGTCAGTTGGCCACACGTGTAAGGGTTTGTTTCTGGACTCTCAGCTCTATTCCATTGATCTGCTTGTCTGTTTTATGCCAGTATCATGATCTCTGCAGCGTTGTTATACTTTTGAAATTGAATCCTCCAGCTTTCTTCTTCTTTATCAAAATTGTTATGGCTCTTCTTGGTCCCTTGCATTTACACATGAATTTTAAGATCAGCTACTCCTGAAAAAAAAAAAAAGGCCAGCTGGGATTTTAACAGGAATTGCATTGAATCTGTAAATTAATTTGGAGAGTGCTGTCACCTTATTATGTCTTTCAATCCACAAACTTGTGATTTCTTTCCATTTATTTAGATCTTTAATTTTTTCCGACGATGTGTTGCAATTTTCAGTGTATAAGTCTTACACTTCTTTTGTTAAGTTTACATTTAAATTTACTTCTTCTTTCTGATGCTGTTGTAAATGGAATTGATCCTTCCAGTCGGCATCTTCCTCACTGTTCTTCACAGCTGTTCCTCCCCGTCGTCCTTCCTCTTTCCATCCATTCACTTAGCCTGAGGAACCAGATCCCCAGGTTGGTTGGAACCATCTGCGTAATGATAATCAGAACGTTCAGAAGGAGGGCAGGAGGGCACCCCCGTGGGGAACGGGCATGGACTACGTCACTTCCTGTTGGGGTTGCTTTGGCTGCACCTCACTTCCGGGGAGACGGCTTGCATTCGGTGAGTGAGCCTGGGCTTTGGTGGTTTCAAGGGCTTCTTCTGCCACCTGTGAGCAGTGAGAGCCTGGACCAACGTTCTTACAAGTCTCTGGTCCCCCTTATATAAAATGGGGAGAATAACACCCTCCCTGTGGAATTGTCACCAGAGGCCCCATGCGTTCAGTCACGGCACAAGTGACTGCTGCCTGAGTGCTGGCCGTGATGACCACAGGCAGCCCCGTATTTGTGATGCGTCCCTGGAATAATGCCTCACGTCACACCTGCTGTCACCTGATGACTTCACGTTTGCCACTACAAACTTTTTATTCGTTCCTTAGAACAATTTCTCATAAGGTTTTATGCCATCACCCTAGTTCCTTGGCCACTTGAAACATGTAAACTGAATTCTGTGTCACAGGCCAATATAAAATCTCTCTCATATTCACATCATTACCATCAATCTTCCCAGCTTTATATAGTTACAAAATATAATTTTATAAATCCATATATATGTTTGTAACTTGTAGCAGATATTCAACAATAAATAATATGATTTTCTTATAGCAATTTCTTAAAGGAATAAAAACACAGATCAAAGGGAACTCCTCCCAGTAAACTGTTATCAGTAACTGGTGAGTCACTGGTTCCCCAACTTCACCTGGAGGCATCAGAATCACCTGGAGGACTTGTTACACCACCAATGGCTGGGCCTCATCCCAGAGTTTCTGATTTTGTCGAGCAGGTGGAGCCTGGGAATATGCATCTCCAACAGGTTCAATTACAATTTTATTTTTTCTTTTAGTTTTTTAACTTTTTATTTTATATTGGAGTATAGTTGATTAACAATGTTAGGACTTCCCTGGTGGTCCAGTGGTTAAGACTCCGCGTTTCCAATGCAGGGGGAGCGGGTTCGATCCCTGGTTGGAGAAGTAAGATCCCACATGCCACGCAGCACGGCCAAAAAATAAAATAAAATCACACCA